CAGCACCACATAAGCAAAAAGAAAAAAGCCGGAAGTGGCGCTGTGGCTCAAGTGGTAGAGCACTAGCCTTGAGCTGAAGAGCTGAGGGACAACACCCAGACCTACAGTTCAGGCCCCATGACTGGCAAAAAAAAAAAGTCTCACAGACATTCATGCCTGGGCTGGCTTAGAACAACGTTCCTCAGAATGCAGCCTCCCAAGTAGCTAGGATCACAGACGTGAGCTACTAGCACCCAAAAAACAATACAGTGCTTTTAAAATAATTATTTGCACTCTATAGGCAGTCATTTTTTTCAATATTAGAAAAAATTTCCAGTTTCTAGGTAATCTATTTTCTAGTAACCAGAACATTTTCTAGCAGTGCCAGGAGAAACTTAAAGCATATAAGATTCCTAGCACCGCCAAATGAAAACCAGTTTTCAACAAAATAACAAAAAGCAAAGACAGAGACACTCAAAGGCAACACTGAATAGATTATTCCCAGTTTCTGGTCATAAAGGACTTATAGTAAGTTTCTGCCTCATAGAGGTTTCCTCACCAATATGTTCTTCAGGAATATCTTACTCTCTCTTATCTATTCCTTAATAGAAACAATCAAGAGCTAAACTGTACATGAACTGACGAAAACATAACTGCCTGCATTCTGAAAGTGGCCAAGCCCAACACTGGCATAACTAAGTAATAAATCCAATCACTTCAAAAGGGGGGAAAACCGCCTGTATTTTTTTCATCAAGTCCAAAAGCTCAGTAACAAGCTAATTTTTCCAGATGTTTTTGTTATTAATTGCCTACTTAAGAAAAAACAGGAAGTACTTTCAGGATTGTATGGAACATAAATAAGCCTTCTATAATATATACAAACATATACACACACACACACACACACACACACACACACACACACACGGCATTCTCTTCTACAATGAGCTCCTCATATGGTATATAAGCCCTTTCCACATTGAAAGTGACATCACCATACTGTTCACTTTTGTAAGAACTGAATGTGCATGTAGTTATCAGTATGTCATATTCTAAATATAACACACGTACTTCTTTGCTTATCCTGAACTCTGACAGACACAGGTCCTTTATATCATGGAGAGTCCAAAATACTGTGTTTTTGCATTAAAGCTGTTAATATAGTTAATGCTGGTCTATATAATAAACATTTGATAAGTACTCATAAACAAATCCCAGCATCTAGAATGGCACCTAACTATAGGCTTAATGTGACCGAAGTTGTCATCACTGGGCAAAATTTAAAGTGAAAAGATTTTAGTTCAATTAATTACATATATCTTGCTGTGTTGCCCTTCCCACAAGCCTTAGTTTTTTCATCTATGGAGAAGTAACATCGTCTTACTTATTGAACCCAGGATTTTGGCAAGCTAAGGAAAGCAAGGGCTTATCACTGAGCTACATGCCTAGTCCTTTCTTTCTTTCCTTTCTCTTTCCTTCTATTTTAGAGCCATTTATACCACCATGCCCAGAAGAAGAAAAAAAATGGGGGGTGGACACATTTACTGCGATTTAAATCAGAGCCAAATTTGAGCTATATTTCTTATTGTTTTAGGGGTTTATTTAGGTAGGATTCTGCACTCTTACTGGATGACCTTGAACCACGCATCTTCTACTTTTGCCTCCAATTTGATTTTTTGAGATAACATCTTGCTAACCTATTTTTTAACCAGACTGGCCTTGAATCATGACCCTTTAGTCTCTACCTTTCAAGTAGCTGGGATTATAGTTACATACCATCATAACCGACCCCAGAAACAATTTAATGTTTTTTAACTAAACAAACATATCTTCAGATTACTTCCTTCTACGTGTACAGCATGTTATCACTAGACATGCTGAGAATTTTTACTGAAGCCTGAAACAATCTGGAAAAAATTAAAATGTTTTTGATGATGATCATCTTACTATAAAGGATTTACATAATAAATACAAAAACAGAAAGCAAAGATTTAGAGCTGGAGGTATGGTATATGGGTAGAGTGGATGTTTAGCCACCACATT